TCTAAGTATGAGGCAGATTGGCCCTGTGCACCAGGCTTTGCAACAAGGCCAGCGTGGAGTTTTTGTTTTCCTTTTCGTTGGCGCCGCCAGCCATTTTGGTCTGGACCCCCGGGCATTCAATTTTTCTGCAGAGAGCCTCTCGTCGTCGTTGTCGAATTCTCACAAGTGGTTGACAGGGACCCCCACAAGTACGCTGCTGTATAACAGTGTGCGCTGACTTTTTTTAAGTTTTTTTCGCTGCGCGTTCCAACTCTTAACAGAGTACACTCCCCCAGCCTTGCCGACAAGAGACAAACTCGTCGCCGACGGAATTTTTGGAGGCCCAGCGCCGCAGATAAATCGTATCGCCGGCGGGCGGCCTCCGAAAAGGGCCCGCAGCCGATAGCTGGATGGATGTACTGGTGGTTTAACAGAGCGGCGGGTTAAGTTTTTTTCTCCAGTGCGTACTTAGGAGGTTTTGAGAGCACTCTCTGCTCTGTCCTGCAAGACATCCAAAAAAAAAGAAAAAGAAAAAATTGGAAAGATACAAAGAAGATCGATTAGCATGGCCCCGTCCTTCGGGACATGCGTTAAAGTTTGGAATGATACAGAGAAAGAAGATTAGCATGGCCCCTGCGCAAGGATGACACGCATAAATTGAGAAATGGTCCTAAAAACAAAAATAAGATTAGCATGGCCCTTGCACAAGGATGACTGTCATAATTCAATGTTGTTTTCTTCAAAAAGAAAGAAAATTTAAAATTAAAGCACTCTTATTTTCTCTGTTAATTCAATGTTGTTTTCTTCAAAAAGAAAGAAAATTTAAAACTAAAGCACTCTTATTTTCTCTGTTAACTGCGGCAACATGCTGTTAAGAGATGATAACTATTAATAAGAAAAGAACCTGCATTTTAAAAGAATGCTGACTTTTTAAGTTTTTTTCGTTTGAGATTCCAGCTTTTAACATCACTTTCTCGATTACCTCAGCACTTGCTTCTACTGTTCGTTATTACGCAGTGAAAGGCGGACAGAGTATTGCCGACAAAAAAAGACTTACGCCCATACTTGCAGTAGCCCATGAACTGTGAGAGCAGAGAAGATGCTGGGGAAGCCGAGGCTACCATCTTCTCCCCCAAACACAAGACACCCTCGTTTTGGATGCACCTGATCGGAAAGACACCTTGTATACATTCGTTATCAGAGTGCGTTGTGTTCGGGGAAAGATGGTAGGGCGCCGGAGGGAGGAGGGGGGGAGGGCAGCGAGGGTGGGCGAGTGGGGAGCCCAGGGGAGAGGTATGTAGGGTCAGGCAGGCCCTACTACAGGTGCTATGCCCATGCTAGTAAACTATGAACCTGTATGCAAAGCCCGGCCAGGTTCGACCTAACTTAGCACAAACATTGGGGCCCGCCTTTTAAAGCACAACTTCACTGGACCCTAAAACATTGCCAAACCTCCGTTTTTTTTGCTTTTTTTGCCCGAACGAATCTAACCCATCCCCACCACACCGATACATTATTCAGTTTTTTTCGCCCGAACGAATCTAACCCATCCCCACCATGCCGATACATTATTGAACGTGTGTGACCGCGCGGACTGCTTGTGTATGCAGTCGAATGCATGGTTCCCATTACTACCATATGTTCTTTGCCAGCTGAAATTTCAGACCTTAAATTGAGGCCAGCAGAAAAAAATTGTCACTGGGGGAGGGGGGGCTCGCACTGGCGGTTTAAACCACACCAGTACGCTTGGGCCTGGAGGCGCTCCACTGCGCGCCGAGCTTTTCCAAACCGCCAGCGGCAGCGGCGCACTTTTTTTTTCTTTTTCCGCTGCCGCTGGCGCCGCCAGCCATTGTGGTCCGGAAAGCCGACTCCTTGCTTGCTACAGTGAGGTGGCAACAAGCCAGTCAGTTGCTTTTTCTGCAAGGCAAC